CCCACGAGCCTAGTGGCGGATAGCGGACCCGTTCCCCCCTGGGCTGCCTGTCTCGGGCAGGTAGTAGGAACAACTCAAATCCAAACCAGACGTGAAAGCCCTCGCCCACCAGGAGGTGAGGGTCGGAGGGGGCTTTTTAACCTGTCACCTGGGGCGCAGGTTGCTGGGGCGGCGGCGGCGAGGGCGGGAAGGGAGGAAGAGAGGGCAGCCGCCGTCTCGTCCGGTGCCGCGTTGGTCTCAGGTGTGGGGCTGGATGTTGTCCTTTCCGAAAGGGGAACTGCAGCCTGCCCCGTTTCTCCTTCACATGCGCGCGCGAAAGCGTAAGGTCTGCAAACGTCGTGGAGGGGCTCGTTTGGCTCCGTCGCTGCGCGATCTTTGAGCGGCGAGCACGACCACCGTCCGGTCGCCTCATTCTCCCGATGTCTGCGCCAAAGGCTGCCGCCGCCGCTTTTGTTGAGTCTATTAAGAAAGAGGGCGCTTGGGGTGTGTGTCTGTGTGTGTGGAGATACAAAGGGTTTCATGAGAGCGGATTTGAACGTTGCGCCAATGAGAAGCACAAAAGTTTCTTGGATATATAAAGCACGTGTGCCCTGCTATAATGCAGGTACGCTTTCCATGGGAATTTGGATCGGTTGCTGAATCCCTACATGGCTACCTTTACAATTGTCTGATAAATATGCATCTGTTGCTGCTGAGTGCTCTTGAACTCGTTATCCCTTCAGCGGCTTCTAACTGTTGACTTACCCTGGGGAGAATTCTGTGGGAGGTTTAGGCATGTTAATATATTCCACCGATTTTGAGGGGACTTCTGAGTAAACCTGCATTGGGACTTAGCTAAGGATACCCACAGTTAATAGAAATACGGTCAAAGCGAAAGAGGCAGCTTGAAAAAGTTAACTGAATGTTCCGTCTTTGCATGTTAGACACACCCAAGAATACACCTTAGCACTGGTATTGTTTCCTCTTAGGTACACATACTTGTCTCCACTGGATACATTTTCATCAGTGGCTATAAGAACTGAAGTTATGCCAGTAACTTATCTGACTTTTGTTAATGTGACACAGAAAATGGAAGAGAAACAATATAGATTTGGTCTTGATTCAAACTGACATGTTTACAGACATGGGAAGTGGTATCTTTGAAAAAGTCAAGGTTATGGGTGTACTGCAACTGTTTTCATTTTACCTTACTTTTTCAAAAGATCTCCTGTATGGAGAATTAGTGCAGGGAAATCGCCCCAGAGTGAGACCACAGCTGTGATATAAGGATATCTGAAAGCGGGATCTGAAGGCCTTAGGAATGAACCTCAACAGATGGGAAACCCTGACTTCTGAGCATTCAGCCTGGAGGAAGGCAGTGCAGCATGGCCTCTCTCAATTTGAAGAGACCCTTATCCAGCGGGCCAAGGCAAAGAGGCAATCCCAGAAACAGCAAAATCAGGGAGCTGGACAGGGGACAGATTGGATTTATCTTCAGTGTGGACGGGAATGTCACCCTCGTATTGGCCTCCTCAGCCACACTAGACGCTGTTCCAAATCCTCTATTCAGAGCACGTTACCATAGTTTCTTGAGAATGAAGGATGCCTAATCTGACTGTAAAGAGGGATCTCTTGTTCTTTAAAAAAGAAACTGTAAGTTTTTTACTCAATTTATTTGTCCATTTAAAATATTTTTACCCTGCCTTTCTCCTTTAAAACAACCCAAGGCAGCTTACATCATTAAAATACAATATTTAAAAGCTAAAACCAGTAAGTATACAAATATTTAAAAGAATCAAATGCCACACTAAAAATGGTAAACAGAATTAACATCAAAAACAAATTCAAAACAACAAAGCAAAACACTCCATTGAAAAAACCCTCTTAGCCAGTCACTGAGGGAAAGCTTGTCTGAAGAGAAAGGTCTTCACCCACTTGCGGAAAGAAAGCAATGATGGGGCCAGCCTGGCCTCCTGTGGGAGAGAATTCCAGGGTCTGAGTGCACCGACAGAGAAGGCCCTCTCCTGTGTCTCCTCCAAGCATACCTTTGAAGGTTGTGGGAATGAGAGAAAGGCCTCTCCTGATGATCTTAGCATCAAAGGCCTAAGCTTTCTAGTGTCTTGAGAAAAAAATAAGTTACATTAAAAATCAGCTGAGCTTTGCACAGACACAGAAGGTGTGGGGATGGACATCAGCTAAGCTAGTTTTCAAAAAAGATTAAATGAATTCACAGTGGATAATGCCATCACTGGCTATGCTACTTCCAGAATTAGAGATAGCATGCTTTGGAACACCAGGTACAGTGGAAAAAAACAGCGACAGCATATTGCCTATTTGTGGGAGTCTGTAAGACAGGTGGTTGGGTACTGTGGGAAAAGGGATGCTGGCTAAGACACGTCTTTGGTTTCATCTATTAGGGTTCTCTGGTAAGAATGCAACTTTGCACAGCTATCTAAAGGAAATAAATCCCATGCTGTCTGCTGATACCTTACTCTCCTGAACACCTGGGCTTCCAGATGCAAATGCTTACATATCTATCTTTATCTTCTGTAAGCAAACTATGGGCATAAGGAACCAAGGAGATTTGCAAGTGCAGGAATAAAAGCTCATAAAGCCATAGCAGAAGGTAAAGGTAAAGGTTCCCCTTGACAATTTTTGTCCAGTCATGTTCGACTCTAGGGGGCGGTACTCATCCCCGTTTCCAAGCCATAGAGCCAGCGTTTGTCCGAAGACAATCTTCCGTGGTCACATGGCCAGTGCGACTTAGACACGGAACGCTGTTACCTTCCCACCGAGGTGGTCCCTATTTATCTACTTGCATTTGCATGCTTTCGAGCGGCTAGGTTGGCGGGAGCTGGGACAAGCGACCGGTGCTCACTCCGTCGCGTGGATTCGATCTTACGACTGCTTGGTCTTCTGACCCTGCAGCACAGGCTTCTGCGGTTTAGCCCGCAGCGCCACCACGTCCCATGACAGAAGACATCCATATAAACCTTTGCTTAATTGTTTTATTTATTTATTTTATTTATTTAATTTATATGCCGCCCACTCTACCCAAAGGTCTCTGGGCGGCTTACAACAATTAAAATTCAATGCAATAAAATAAAATGAGTAAAATACAATTAAAATACAATTAAAATACAATTAAAATTGCCATCATTAAGACCCACAGTTAATGTTATTTCAATTAAAAGCCTTCTGGAACAGGAAGGCTTGGACCTGGCGCCGAAATGTCATCAGTGTCGGCGCCAGACGAATCTCAGTCGGGAGGGCGTTCCATAGTTTGGGGGCAGCTGCCGAAAAGGCCCTTTGTCTGCAAGCCATCCCTCTTACCTCCTTGAGGGATGGCTCTTTCAAAAGGGCCCCCTGGCTAGATCTTAACAGCCGGGTAGGCTCATATGGAAGGAGGCGGTCCTTCAAGTATCCAGGGCCCAAGCCGTTTAGGGCTTTATATGTCAAAACAAGCCATAGAAATATTACTGAGGCCAAAAAGAACTGTCTGTATGAGAACAACTTATGTTAGGCTGGGAAAGTGTACACAGATCAGGATCGTGAGTCTGCTCTCCAAAGTTATTGTCTGTGAGACAGTCTTCAGGTGATGTATCCAGTTTCTTTCTGTTTAAACAGCCAAATTAGAGGGGCTTTGAAGACTAAATGGCCCCAAGACTCCAGGAATATTTCACTGCATTCTCCGTACCCGTTGGAACACAAAGTGAGTTGTAGCTCTGCTCAGTTTGGTACCCATTCACTTTTCCTGCCTGTAATCCCCATTATTCCTTTTCTGTACAGTGATGTCACTCCTTGCAGTAAATTAATACAGTGGTAAGGGGTTGGAAGCCTTAATCCTTTGTCCAGCAAATGCTAGGAACCTGTATTTCTTGGAGTGTGTATTTCTTTGCTAAAAAATAAACATGTGGCTTGTATCTGTGGATGACTGCATGTGTTCTGGAGTCTGGTCTGTGGTGTTTCCTGTTTCAGTAGATTAGGGTTAGTACTGCTCTGGACATCCAAAACCAATGACTGTAGGAAGATACCACCTGATGAAGAATCAAATAGCTATGGTAAAATGTTGTTCAGCAATGTCAGAATGCAAGTTTGTCATCTTTTTATTGCCACAATGTTTCTCTTTCACATTTATTTATATTTATTTATTTATTCTATTTATATTCCGCCTATCTGGTCTTGCGACCACTCTAGGTGGCTTACAAACCCATAAGACAACAAATAAATATAAAAAAGAATTGTTACATTAAATAGCCAGTTCTTCAAGATGGAGAAAATAAAATAAAAAATAAACCAAAAAGAGGAAAAAAAGAATCAGATAGTAACTGGAGGGAAGGCCTGTCTGAACATCCAGAGAGAAAAGAATCAGATATTAACTGGAGGGAAGGCCTGTCTGAACATCCATGTTTTTAATTGGTTTTTAAAAAAACATTCTCTGTTTTTTCTCTTTACAGCTGTGTATTGCCATGGTAGATTATTCCAGAAGGACTGCAGAGCCACACAGAACTGAAGAACTGAGGTTTTAAAAAAACATTCTCTCTTTTTCTCTTTACAGCTGTGTACTGCCATGGTAGATTATTCCAGAAGGACTTCAGAGCCACACAGAACTGAAGAACTGAGGTAGCATCTGACAGCTGGAACTTGACATTGCTGTTTCCTCCTCTAGTTATGGATGTTGCATTTCTACTGTGCTTCACATTGGCACTATTGCCCATAAGAATGTCTGGAAAGACTTGGCAGTGCCCACGTATTTCTTATAATCAAACTCAGAATTTTACAGTGGAATATAGCTTCCCTACGTTTGTGGCTGAGAGGGACATACAGAATGTAGTCAGTTATGAGGATGGTAATGCTATCTTTGTTGCAGTTCAGAACAAGATCTACATATTGAACTCAGAATTGAAAATATTATCTTCTATAGTGACTGGTCCCTGGGGTAGTACCAGTTGCACAATCTGTGCCCTTTGCCAAGTGGAAGGGCCAATTAATTTTGAAAACACCGATAACAAAGTTTTAGTGATGGATCCACATGAGCCTTGGCTTTACAGTTGTGGAAGTTCTCAAAATGGAATCTGTTTCCTGCACGAGATTAAAATGGAGGGCAGTGCTGCTTCAATCACGGAAACCTCGTGCTTGTATTCAGCTCAGCTTAACAAACCTTCAGAGTGCCCAGATTGTGTGGCCAGTCCCTTAGGTACTAAAGTTGCCGTCATTGATCAGTTGGCTTCCTACTTTTACATTGCATCTACTATCAACAAAAGTGTAGCAGAGACATATAGCCCCAAGTCAGTGTCCATAAGGAGATTGAAGAGCTCTTTGGATGGGTTTTACTACTCTTTCCACTCCTTAACTGTGCTTCCAGAGTACCAAGACACATATCCCATTGATTATGTGTATTCCTTTAACAATGAGGACTATGTATACTTCCTGATGGTCCAAAAAGAAAGCCTCAGCTCCAAATTGTACCACACTAGGATAGCACGGCTAAGCGCTAAAGAGAGCGAACTGCGCAACTACCGTGAGCTGAACCTGGAATGCCACTTTGGACACAAGCGGAAGAGGAGTCTTGGGATGGATCCGAGGGATGTGACCTTTAATATCTTGCAAGCAGCTCATGCTACCTACCCGGGTTCAAAGCTGGCTGACGAACTCACGCTCAGTGTCAAAGAACTGGTTCTGTTTGGTGTGTTTGCTGAAAGCCATGCAGAAAGCAAGGTGCCACAAAAGTATTCAGCAGTTTGTGCTTTTCCTGTGACCAAGATCAATGAGGCTATTGATAATGGGATGATGAAATGCTGCAGTTTGAGTGTCCATGACAAGATGCTTCGAGGGCTAACATTTTACCAGGATATTGAGTACTGTCCACATAATGTGAGTCTCCAGCAAACATTTCCTATCTTCTTGCATGGGTGGGTGTGATTGTGTGTGACTTCAGAGATGTTGATTGAGATAGTTATTATTAATCACTTATGTTTTCACGTTAATTTTTTACAGGCTTTTATTCATCTGCATAACAATGCTTCAAGGTATTTTATTCTAATTCCTACTTTAAAATGGTATGTTAAGATACTGTAAACCATGTTCACATGGTTGATTGGAGACAGAGTCCAAATTATTGGTGTAGGGGGGGGGAGAGACTGGTTTTCCATCTCTGCTTTACATCTGGATGAAATAAAGAAAGGATTTTTATTTTCAACACACCACACTGTTACCTGTCTCTGTTTAGGTTAATTGCCATCTCTTCCATAAAGGAGAACATGTTATGTTCTCTGAAAGGGGACAAATGCAGTAGGATAGATCTGTTGCTCCTGCTAGTAAAATAAGTGAGACAGCCACTGTGTCTACTGTCTTCAGTGGAAACGCCTTGACTGTCAATGGGCTACCAAGTCAGTCCGTAGTGAAACTGGATGGCAGTGTTGACTACAAGGAGAGGCATCTTTTGAACTTGACTGTAAGTCTCACATTTCAGCCACCCAATTGAACTAGTTAATTGAGATCAACTAACAGTACATTCAGCCCAAAGAGACGGTTTGTTGCTCATCAAAGTTCTCTCTTCCCTAGTATTTCTTTAGGCTTTAAGGTTGGAATTCTATATTGCATCCAAGATGAGGATGCTGTCAAAAATGATATCTCTTTCTCTGTGGATGATCATGGAACAAAGGAAGGCTAATTGCCTTAGAGAGAGAACAAGGAGTCCACAGCGGATGTCCGAGCCAGCGGAGCCTACAGGCAATGCCCTGAGAGCTCTTTTATGTACTTAGCATGATTTACATAGTATGTTGTTAGAAACAGATAGGATACTAGTTACCCAATTGTAACTAGGATTGGCTAAAATAACCATCAATCTGATTCTCTGCCTTTAAGGTAGACCTGAGCAAAGTGCGGCCCGAGGGCCACATACGGCCCGCGAGCCGCTCCTGTCCGGCCCACGGACAGTTTTGAACATCAAAACCATTTATAACTTTTTGTCTAAAGTTGATCAGTTGCTTATCTTTAACATACTGCAAAAAACCTCTTTAGTATTTGCGAAGATTAACAAGTTGAAAATAAAAACAATCATAACCTCACTATTTCATTTTATTTTTAAGTAAAGTTGGTTTGGCCCCCGAACACAGTTCAGATTTTTCATGTGGCCCCCCCCTCTAGAAATTAATTGCCCAACCCTACTCTAAGGGAAAGGGCAGAATAAGGATCTATCCCACCTGCTGGCAGCTGCCACTTCCTGCCAGGAGTGTATGCATGCCACTGGAACAGAATGCAGCTACAGCCTTTAAGCAGAAGTTTCCCACATTTCTCCAGATCTCATTCTCTTCCCTTGTGACATGTAGAAAAAAGTACTTATCTTGTGCTTGGCTCTATCATTATATCTTTGTGTTTTTACATTTCTGTACCCAAGTTAATAGCAGTGAGTTGTATATGGCAAAATGAAACCCAGTATGATTATCTTGATAAGGGGTAAATGCTCCTACAGCTTAGGACAGAGGGGGAGAATTTGACTGTGGTTTACTATTGGCAGTCTCATTCTCATGTTTCAGGGAAAGAACATTTCCTCTTTCATTCCATGTGTCTTTGAAAGAACCAAGTGTCCTGGGTTTTATTGTTTGAAGGTTAATTTTTTTATCTGTTAACACTGACTGTCCATATTTTTTTTTAAAAAGCATGCAGTAATTATTTGTTTAAATAGACTATAATAATTCCATGTGACAACAGATACATTAGTCTTTAAGGTACAATGAGATGCTTTGTTTCTGCTGTTGACAGACCCACATCTGGAAGCTGTTAGGTATGTGGTCAGCTTGTATGTGAATGATTAACGCTATTACTTAAAACCGAAAGTTGAACTTAATGTTTAGTGTTCATAATTAATTCACTGGAATGGCAGTGGGACATTCAAATGCCAGAGAAATAAGATGTTTGCATTAATGAATAGAGCAGTGGTGTAATAGTAAATCTTGAAGTGCAGCTACTCATTGTGATAGTCATTGTACTTAAGGCACTAGGCAGAATTTTAAGAAAACAGATTGCAGTGTAGATTCTTTTTATCAAAACCCATCTGGTCATTTTCATATTCAGGAGCAGGCTTTCTGCAAAATTAGTTGATCTTAATGGCTCATGCAAGACCAGACCGTGCCTATACAGTTTGCATAAAAGTACAGATAATACACAACAGAGTGGATCAAAACCAATGTTTTAAAAAAAAAAATCAAGTTATTTAAATCACGGTTTAAATAAAAAAAAATTAATTTAAATCGTAAAAAACTGATTTCTAAAATTTAAATTGTGATTTAAATCAAATCTACCACACAACATCCATCTATCCTGCCAGCTGCTGTGAGAACTGCAGTGGAACTCACAGGGAGCAGGGACACTTGGTGTGGGCGGGAGATGATGCCTTTGTCCTTGCTAATCTAAATATCCCATTGTTCAGATTCTGAGAGTGCTGGCTAAGCTCCATGACTCAAAGAGAAATTTGAAGTGTTGCTAGAATATTAACAGGCATCAGGAATTTTACATAGATACAGTTTTGAGGTACTGTGGTTATAGCTGGGATGGTTGTTTTATGGCTTCAGGTATAATCCTTTCTATAACAGGATTACAGAAGTTTCAAAAGGAAATGGACTTGTCAATGAAGGCTCACATTAAAATACAGCAGATAGTCTTTGTCATGTTTTTGTCTTCTTTGTTTTTTATATTCTTTTTCCTTGAGGGCTATAGAAATAATTAATCAATTTTTAAAAATACTGTAATTGATCCTCCCCATAGCAGCAGCAGCTAAATTCCTTAAACACCCTGAATATCTGCACCATTCTCATTAATTCTGGACAGTTCTTCAGTGCAAAATTTTGATCCATCAACTTACTCTCATCCCTTAGTACTGTGCAGAGTCGGGAATGTGTGAGGTTCCAGATATTTAGTACTATAAATCCCATAATTCTACACTGGTGGCCATGCTGGCTAAGGGTTCCGGGCACTGTTGTGTGAGACATCTGGAAAAGCAGAGGTTTTTTTGTTCCTGCTTTAACACATACAGCTGTTTAATTTTTACTGTACTATTTGCTTCACTTTCTTTAAAGGGGACTGGTGGCCTTGTGGTAGACTAGTGGCTACAGTCAATAAAGCACACACACAAAAACCAGCATGGAATTGAGGCAGTCATACCAGATTTTAGATTGTGGAGAGCTGGACTAGGACTGGGGAAATAAACTGGACCATGGAGATCACTGTGTGACTTTAGCCTAATGCTCAGGGTTTTTGTGAGCAGAAAAATGTTGACAACCACCATTTTGTGTTGGCTTGATCTCCTTAGAGGAGAGGTGAGATAAAACTGCAACTGTAAATAAATAAATTTATTAGCTAGTTTAATGTTGTCAGCCGTCTTCTTAAAGGCCTGCCTTAAAAGTGTAAGGCACAAGGAGAAGAAAAGGACTTGTGTGACTGTTGGCACTTTGCTGAATGTTTGATAAGAATGTTATCACATCATTTTTTAAAAGGTGGGATATCCAGAGAGAACATGAGTAATTCAATATATAATAAGTCTGGGGAAAGCTGGTTGTTAGCCATGGTGGCTGGCATCCAGGATCACACCCATTCGAAGGCGTAGGCAGTTGGGAGATCAAGCTTATCAGCCTTGTGAAGTCTTTCTGCTGTGGTGATTGGGAATGTGCTTCTTGTTTGGCATTTTGGATTGAACAGAGGTACGGGGAGTAGAATTTTAAAAAGTACCTCCATTCTGAAAGCTACTGGCCTCGTTGGCCATAAGAAAAATTTCAAAATCCAAATCTGCATCAGCATAATAACCTTTAGTTAGTCTAACAAAGGTATTGCGCCAGGGTGGATTTTGCCCTTAGGCTGAAGTTTCCTGGCATGACTGCAATGTATGCTTCCATTTGCCTTGGTGCCAGACTTAGGCATGCTTTCCACTCTGAGGAAACACCTAGAAAGGGTAGCCCCAATATACACATAAGATGCTTTGTGGGAATGGTCTGCCTGTGAAAATAGTACAGCGTTTGGACCAGGACCTCTAGGGTCTTGGTCAGATATATCTCCTTTTCCCCTGTAAACCTAAAATCAATTCCCCAGATTGTGAAAAATGCTGGTTCTGAGATCTATGAGTTCTTGCATTGTACTTTGATCATCATGATTTCATCCTTCTAGTGGGAGACTAAAGCAGTCAAAAATAACATTTGACCTGAACTAGAAAACTAAGCTAAAACATTTATACTTAAGGGTTTTATTTGGCATTATACAATGAGTGATTTTAAGTAAAATTTATTTTAAAATGGGTGGGTAGCTTCAGAATGTCCGTGAGCCAGTTTTCTGCCCCAGGATACTCTGTGGGCTTTACTTGCTTTGAAAAGGAACAAAAAGTACAAAACTTAAAGTTCCTAAGTAGACTTCCGGCTTCACTTAGAGGAGATTTTGGGCGGTTGCAGGAGCTTTACTCCATTTTATTGCAATGCCACTACTCCTGGCAGTTTGCATGATTAAAAAAGTATGTTTTGCGTGTCATATTCCTCAGTGGGGGAGGGAATAGATATCATCATCATCGTCATGTACCGTCAAATCAGTTTTTACTTATGGCAACCCCTTTCAAGGTTTTCTGGGTAAAGAGTACTCAGATGTGACTTACTATTTCAATCTTTTTTTTGAGGGGGGCAAGGATCCTGGGACTGTGCAGCTTGCCCAAGGCCACACCATCTGGGTCTTCTCCCTGGAAGCACAGTAGGGGATCAAACTCTCAAACTCTGGTTCCACAGCCAGATTACTTAACTCACAAAGCTATCCAGCCAGCTGGGGTAGATATCTAGCAGTTGCAAAATTGATGTTGTGGGGGATATAGTTCATAATGCATCACTGCATTAGGAAAAAAA